TAACAGGTAGTGGGTAGCGTCATCGGCATCCGGCATGATGAAGTGGATGGCAAGCGGCGACGCGACGTCATGGTGCCGTGCTCCTCATCCTTCTCTTCAGCGGCTTTCGCATGGTGAAGTGTTTCGCTTGATGTGCAAGTTGGTGAAGCAACTCCAGCGTAACCATGCATGGGCCGGGCTTCGTCATCCGAAGTCATGGCATGTGGACGTAACAGGTAGTGGGTAGCGTCATTGGCGCACTTTGGACGGCTATGTTGGAGAGCTTCACGTGGACACGACGACCCTACGACGATGGCGCCGATAATTTGCTGCATCTTTACGATTTCTGGGGTCTTGTGTGACAGCTCCATCCATCATCATCGTGTTGTGCTTGCATGCATAATCTCACTGTTCACAAGGATTAGCCACGTCATCATCGTCAGGTGAGTGGTCCGTTGGGTACATGTGCGCCTCTAACGAGCCCGACGGCCCACACTTCGGCCTTTACGTTTATGTGTTGCTCGCTCCTGGCCGACCCCTTGAAGCACTCGCCCGTGCTCTTTTGTCTCCAAGTGCTCACGCCAGATGCAATCGCCTCTGGTTGTTCTTACCTTAGTGCATTTTGTGTCCTTTCTCTTAACCTTCCCTTGTTGCATACTTGAATTATGTGTTTTGTGTGTGTGCGCGCTTGTGTGCAGGTCGGACTCCCATAAACTGTTAAAAAAAGGAATCTTCATAGACGAGTACGTGTTGGGTTGTGTGTGTGTCTTATATTTGAAGTAACGTTATATAGCTTTATTTTTAAATCTCAACCGTCTATCTTTAGCACTAACACAAAATCAACGGATATAAAAAGATGACCTATGGGAAACTATGAAATTTTCGTCCTTTAATATTAGGTATAGATATAGAAGTACATAAAGAAGACAAATATGTGGCTCTATAATGCATACAGTCCGTGTAAAAAGAAATACGAAACATTACATACACATAATAAGTCCATTTTTTTTACAAAAATATAGTATGTCCAGGTGTGTATATGTGAGGTTGCTTTTGAAATGTTCTGGAACTTTAAAATACTATGAACCTTATTAAGTTTGATGCTGATTTCAAAAAAAAAAAGTTTGATGCTTGTAGGCGTCGGGATCCAAAACACCTCACTATCTATCGACAACGTCAAGTTTATTTTTGGCCATGGGGGCCAGCGAGGTCAAAAATTTCAATGCAGGCCAGCAAAAGAGGTTGGAATAACTCGACGCCGTAAACAAAAATAATGGCGGATCCCTCTTTCTCTCCCCGATCGACAAGAAATTCTCTCTCTTCCCTCTTTTAATAGCGGATCCCTCTCACAAACCCCTTCCCTTGTATAACCCCCCACAGCCAGCCCACCCAGGTACAGGTAGAGACAGACAACCAGGAGCGCCCAAGAAGCGGTGCAGGAGGAATCCCGGCCTCTGTAGCAAACAAGAATCCATCCACCTGTCCTCCTCATCGAGATCTCGCACGGGGCGGCTCGTGGTGAGGTGAGTGAGTCGACCGTCCATGGCGTTCAGGGCCTGCCTCCCGTCCCACAAGGCCTCGCCGTCGCCTTCCGTCGCGCAGAGGAGGGCCGGCAATGGGGCACCGCCGGTGGTGGTCATGGCCTCCACCATGAACGAGTAAGCAGATCCTCCCGCCCACGCCTGCGAATCCTGCTCCTTGATTATGGCGGAAATGGTTTCGTGTACAGTGTGATCTGGGTTGGTGGGAGGGTTTCCATCGACCCGGGAGTTATTTTTGTGATCTGGGGTGGCGAGATTTGTGATCTAGAATTGGCTGCCTGGAAAATAGGGCAAACACTTATTCCAATGGATCGGATCAAATCACGACAAGAAAAAAAATGCACTCCATCTTTTTTTCTCGTTGCGGTTTGGCTTCCGTGTTCTCCTTCTTTTCTTGTTGAGATCCAGGGCTTTGCTCCGTGTGTCTTTAAATTCATTTGCTGATCCATTTGATGCCGAGCTTCTGCTTACGGTCTGGATGGATCGATTTGGCGATCTAGCCCGTTTGCAGATGCGCAAAATCCGGTTCCCCGTTTCTGCCTATCTCAGTTTTTTTGTAACGACGATATATCTACTGGTTCTCAAATTGACTGTGCATGAATTCTTGCAGTATCAATTTCACATTAACTAGTTATTTGTCATAACAAAAATCCTATATTGTTGATTAGAAGGAATTGCTTGTGCAGAAACAATAGATGGTCAATGTAAGCAGGCTGTACAAATCCAGAATTCTTTGGATGGTCAATTTAATCAGGCCGCCGAAATTCAGAGTCATTTCGATGGTCAATTTATGCAGGCCGTAAAATTTCAGAGTTGTTTGGATGGTCAATTTAAATTTATGCAGGCTGTACTTGTTCAAAGTTGTTTTCCAGTGGTCTTCGGGGGGTTTATGTCATGCATGAAGCCATAAACTTGTTAGCTGCTGAGATCTGAACTTGTTCAAACATGTTGATGGGGATAGACTGATAGTGAACATTAAAAGGCTTGATCTGCGATTATGATTTGTGCATTTTAGTTTTTGGGAGCTCGCACAAACACTACTCTTGTGTTCTTGTAGTATCAGTTTAAATAAGTCGTAGTCTAAGAACAGAAATTTACACTCTCCAGTGAACAGAAATTTACCAATGACGTTTTAGGGTATTGTAATCAATAATACAATGAACTTTGAGTGGTCAGACTGTTCGCTGGATTCATAAAGATGAATATAGAAATTATGCGAGTACAAAAAAAAGGGCACCGACTCTTTGTTTGTCATCCAGTTTAATGTATAAGATAATTTGGGCGGATTTTGCGTTGATTGTGTTTTCCTTAGTCAAGTTTTGCATCGAGTTACTCTGTTTAGTCAAATTATCCATCAAGTTATTCCGGATAATAGCTTGTAAAACCTTAAAACATTGTTGGTTCTGCCCTGTTTATGTATGTAGATGCAGTTGTGGCACCTCAAACTACTTAATCTAACTTCACCGGAACCTTATATGTTTTTGATATATGGTAGTAGCATGTTTGGTAAACACTGTTTTGTGTTAAAAGTTTCTATGCAAACATCAGGAGCCTTTCTTCACCATGGTCTAAAGGGATAGGCTCATTGTGTTTCCTTTGCCACTCTAATTTGACAGAAGCCTGGAAATTTCTGGAATAGAGATATTATGGTAGATAGATTAATATGAGTTGCATCCATTCACCTTAACAAGTACTGTACATCCATATGTACTGTGCAGTGCTCCTTCTGGATTGTACTAAGTCATTATGTTACCTTTCCTAGGGTCAAAACTGCCAAAAAGCCCTATGCTCCCCCACGCGAGGTGCATCTCCAAGTCATGCATTCGCTACCAGCACAAAAGCAGGAGATCTTTGATTCACTTCAATCTTGGGCTAGGGACAACCTATTGAACCTTCTGAAGCCAGTTGAGAAGTCATGGCAGCCACAGGACTTCCTACCAGACCCTTCTTCCGAGGGATTTTATGATGAAGTAAAAGAACTGAGGGAGCGGGCAAAGGAAATCCCTGATGACTACTTTGTTTGCCTAGTTGGTGACATGGTTACTGAGGAAGCCCTTCCTACGTACCAAACAATGCTCAACACCCTTGATGGTGTCCGAGATGAAACTGGCGCAAGCCCAACTGCCTGGGCTGTTTGGACAAGAGCATGGACTGCTGAAGAAAACAGGCACGGTGATCTTCTGAACAAGTACATGTACCTTTCCGGACGGGTTGACATGAGACAAATTGAGAAGACTATACAGTACCTTATTGGTTCTGGAATGGTAAGAACTATCTCTCCGTTCTAAAATAGATGATTTAATTTTGTACTACAGTTAGTACAAAGTTGAGTCATCTATTTTAGAACGGAGGGAGTATTATCTATCTTTTAAGCTTCAGTGTATGATCATTAACTTTGCTAATCTCAAAGCAAAATCACCAATATTCTCAAAACCAACATGTAACAAAAGTGTATGGTGTTCAATCGACAAACTACCATTTACTTTGTGCTGTCTGTAGATAGTGCTTCATTGTAGCAGGGTTGGATTGTAACATGCAACTATATTCTGCTTTAACCTATATTCTTGTGCTGCTACTTGTAAATTGTAACATGCAATTGTTTTTGGATTGAACGTTGCCATTAATTCTTAGTGTATCCCATGTCAATACAGGATCCAGGAACTGAGAACAATCCCTACATGGGTTTCCTTTACACATCATTCCAAGAGAGAGCTACTTTCATATCCCATGGCAATACTGCTAGGCATGCCAAGCAATTTGGGGACCTCAAACTGGCCCAGATATGTGGTACAATAGCAGCTGATGAGAAGCGCCATGAGACGGCTTACACCAAGATAGTTGAAAAGCTTTTTGAAATAGATCCTGACTACACGGTGCTTGCATTTGCTGACATGATGAGGAAGAAAATCTCAATGCCTGCTCATCTCATGTACGATGGTGAGGACGACAACCTATTCGAGCACTTCAGCTTGGTGGCGCAGCGGCTTGGGGTCTACACAGCGAAAGACTACGCCGACATCCTCGAGTTCTTGGTCCAGAGGTGGAAAGTTGCAGATCTCACTGGACTGTCCGGTGAAGGAAGGCGGTCGCAGGACTATGTTTGCACTTTGGCAACGAGATTCAGGCGGCTGGACGAAAGAGCGCAGGCAAGGGCGAAACAGGGGCCTGTGGTTCCATTCAGCTGGGTCTACGACCGCAAAGTGCAGCTCTAATAAAGAGGAAGGAACACAAGGTTAATGAGACTGCATCCATCCTATTATTTCGTGTTTCGGGTCAGTGTAGGTTTTCCTAATAGCAGGGTAGAATGTTTTATGTGCTGTCCTGTAAGTTGTTGGATGACAGTGAGGAAGAGGCTAGTGAAAGTGGTGTGAGATGCTGGCTGGCCATGAAGGGCTCCGTTGCAACCTTTTGTTGTGTTGAATATTTTATGTGACCGTTGAAGTTTACAGGGCTTGTATAAGTTTCAAAGTAATAAATGGATATTTGTATACAGACAGACCTATATGTTGGTGCATCATGAGATTCCAAACTTTAAAGCCATTTTTTCTGATCGAAATGCAATGAGTTCAACAAGCTTGATCATGTTCTGCTCTTCTCTGCTTTCCATCTTGTTGTGTTTCTGCCTCGAGTTCATTATTACAGATCTATTTCGAACTTGGAATTATTTTGCCTAGACGGAGATCATGTTTCATGTGTTTTCTCTCAGTTTGAATTGAATTCGCACAAGCCACACGTCGGTCAATTGAACTGGAGGACACAGTTTGAAGTCTAGCTAATTGCATTTTTCTTCTTTCCTTTTTTTTTCACAGCGTCAGTCAATTGAACAGTACACTGGAGGACACAGTTTAACAGTCTGGTATAAAGAACCAATACAACCACAATTCCGCCTGATCTTTCGACGGTTCAAGCTTTGCGCACACCTTTTTTTTTACTACAATACAAGAAAGGACTAAATCTATGCTGTTATACCTAGCAGCAACAGCAGTCGATTCCACATGCGTAGAAGGTCAAGTGGCACCAAATCTGTACGAAAAGTATAAGGGTAATCTGAAATGAGCTCCTGTCTGCCATCAACTTTGATGAGAAGCCGAGCCCAGACCTCGATTCTAAGCAGAAACCCTGCTGGAGTGGAGCTCTGACTGCATCTCCCGAACAAGAATCTCCTCAACGGCGTCTACAAATCTTACCAGATGCCGACGAGTCTCAAGCTCCAAGCCATTGGCAAGTTCCTGGCAACCATAGGACCAAGACCGCGAATTAGGTTGCTACTCAACAGCTGGTACCCATGCTATTATGTTTGTTTTGGTAGCCATGGCCTTGGTCTAGAAGCTGGTACCCATGCTTATTGACTACAAAAAGGAAACTAGGCGTCTATGCAAAACAGATCATTATTTTCATACTTCTTCTGCTAATATTGGCTTAGCCATTTTTACCTTGGTCTTGCAGAGCAAATGTAAAGTTATATTCGTTGGCTGAGTCCCTGAATTGCGGATTGAGATTAACTTCAGACCATAGGACGACAGTGGCCAGTCTGCAGATATCTTGAAGAAGGCATCAATTGCACCAACCAAATGAGCTACGATTGTTTCATCTTTGTCAAAGTACTCAAAAGAATGCCTGCAAGAAAACAGAAGAGTTTGTCACATTATCGAAATGCTGAACACAAAGGGACAAAATTATGAGCATATATAATATTCATGCTGAGCACCTACAATTAGTTTTTGTTGCCTATGTGCATCACATGAGCCTGGCTTCAATTGTCAGATAAAATGTAGATCACTACCTCTTTTGAGAAATATTTATCATTACTCAATTAAGGGGGTCATCAAATCCAAATAGTAAGGACATTCATGATTAAATTGTGCTTCTTGTTTAATGTGAAATTGCAATGTTTGTTGTTGTTTTTTTCCTCTAACAAGCGGCCAGCTGCATATCATTTTCTATTAGAAAGGAACGTGTCTCTCATAGTAAAATCTGTTTGATACAAAACCAAGTAAATGGCTCCAGTAATGTTGGCAGAACATACAGTGCTATAACATACAAAGAGTGCTATGAATCATTGCAGTGTAAGCTCTAAATTCAATGAAGAAGCTTAGAAATTATAGATTCCTTGCAATTATTCTTACAAAAGGGAATAACAGTAAAAAAGATACAGAATTATTAGCGCAATACTAGCAGATGCAAAATAATGTCACCTGGAATTATTGGCATCATTCACCAACGATCGTCTTAGAGTGTTGATTACAATCTGTTGTTGACATTGCCGAATGAGCCATCCCAAAGATGGAGCGGAAATGACCTCTCTTCAAAAGCAGATAGCGTTTTTTTGCATAAGCAGTTAAGCACACAAAAATGATTGAAAGTAATACAGAGTACAGTTCGCACAACTGTGAGTCGTGAATTGTATGCTAAAATAACACAAAAGAAATGACAAAGACAAGTGAAGTTTCTTGGTGTTCTATATGTTGTTCAATAGTGGTGGCACTTCTGAACCTTAATGAAGACTCGAAGTTGTTTAAATGTTTAAACAAGCGACCCCTTTTTTGGAAGAACAATAAGCCAGCTCTGTAAGTCAGATAGCAAGTATCTCTAACATACCTGGAGGACTTGAGCTTCTCAATCAGTATATCTACACAAACATCAGCAGGAAAGATCTGAAAAGACAAATATGATTGGTAAAACATGAAACAACATAGTTCTCCTGAATGGACTTTAAAAGGTTAAAAGTATGGCAATTGGCAATTTGTTATCAAGCACCATAACATTGCCAGCAAAGAACTGAATGAAGTACAAAAAACAGGAATAAGAAGAAAAGTTTGACACGGCTTGAGGTGTTTAGCAGGAATTCAAATGCTGGAACCACTGAATGAGCATAAGCACAAAATTGTATTGTGAATGTTACTGAAAGAATATGAAATAACAGCATAATACAAAATGAGTATCTAAATCCACTCATAGGTTACATCTAATAAAAGATGGTGGATACTGGTGTGTCTCCTTCCTAATCCATATGCATACAAAATCGATTCTAAGACAACATCAGTTTTTGCCTTGATTGTCAGGTAACTATGCAAGCATAAGCACAAAAAAACTTTTGCAATGATCAGGGGTATGGAAGAGTAGTTCACTGCTTTACCATTATTATTATTTTCAGTAAGTTTAGGAATGTCTGATAAAAATACTTTAAGCCTACAAAAATGTTACAGCTTGCCCGAGCCTTTATGTACCGTTGAACACTTGTACATGAGAATATTTTATAATCATCTCAGTTGATTACTTTACATGAAATTGGGAGTGTCAAATAGGATTGATCACTGTATAGGAAAATCAAGGTGGAAAACAGCTAACATCGCACAGGTTACTGTAGCCACACCCAGCCATGCAGTTTTATGATCCTTGGTTATGTCATTATTCACTACTTGTACCGTGAGATTTTTAATCGTGAAATGCAACAATATCCTGAAATGCATCAGGTATTACACCAAATATCTACCATAGGTAAAAATAAAAAATGATGATCAATTAGTTCACCAGAGGTAAAGAGTTTCTACAAAATGAGAAAAATATGGTTAAGAGAGCACCTGGACTTTATTCAGTTCCATGCTTCCTTCATCAACTTCTATCAGTAACTCATGATCTGAAACAGAAGAATCAACAACACAATCCAACTTTTGTCCAAGAATTACACATTCCGAGGTCAGTATAGGTGCCTTCAGGAGCACCCTGAGACAGTTGTCTTTACACTCTAAGACCTTTGGTCCTGAAACCAGAGATTGAAGCTGCCACATTTCTTCATCCCTGGATAGAGAGAGGGAGATGTCATGAAGTAGGAAGTTTTTAAGCAGAACAAGCTTAAAATCTAAACATGAGACAGCCCCAGTTAAAAGCTCAGAGTGGTACAATTTTAACAAGCTGGGATGATGAAGGAAGCCAACAGGTAAGGACAACGGAATCAGTAAAAAAGTCAACAAAGAAAAATTGATTCAATGGTAAGAAACATATGTAGGTTTCAAAAAATAAGGAACATATGCTTGTGATTATAACTTCTAAATGTGAAGATGGGAAAACAGAAAGCCAGTTACAAATTGATAACCGATTGAGAGTTCACAGATAATCTCAAGGACTGGACATTAAAAGAAGAGCACAACAATCAGGAGATTGGTCAAGAGTTCATGGCGGAACCGGTAAACATGTGTATAGCAGTGTGATCCTCAGAACGCGAGGAAGGCATGCATATCTAATCCAAATGCCACGTTCAACAAAGATAGAAAATTAATCATGTGTTGGAATGAGAAGGTTTTGCCAAAGATAGATGCTGAAACTGAGAAGGTTGAAAATAATATAAACAGAGACTACAAATGAAGAGAACAATGGTGGTGGTGGTGTGCTGTGCACATTACATGGGTTCATCTCAATGCATTAACAGATGATAGCTAACCAAGCATATTTACATTTTGTCCTTAATGAACACAAACAGGGAGTAAAAACTAATGGTGGCAGAATTGTTAGCAAATTCTAAAGCAGATAAAATGGTGAAATTCCTTGTTGAGCAAACTATTTTAAATGCAAAGTCAAGTTGAGAAACCTCATTCATATGATAAATTAAAGTATTCTTCTCTGTTTGTAAAGCGTCCCTAAAGCGTCGCTTAAGCGACGCTTAAGCGTTAGAGCGCCCTCCAGGCTCAAAGCGTCCAACTCGCTTTAGACATGTGTCTAAGGCGTCCGCCTTAGACACTAAAGCGTCTGAAGCGCCTGCTTAGGCGTCCTGATTGGCGCTTTAAGGCAGAGAGGACGCCTTAGACTTGCCAGGCAGGGTACAGAGATTCCTGGCAGGGAAACAGGGCTGGGCTCACATGTGAAACAGTTACAGGAGGGGAAAGAAAGAGAGAGAACCAAAACCAGAGCGTGCAAATATCCAGGCTTTCAGCTCTTTCCTCTCTCCTCTGGCAGCAGCTTCCTCAGATCTGCACCAGCCTTTTCTGCTCTGTTGTGTGTTATGCTATGCACAACTCCTCTGCTGTTAGGTGCTACTGCCTCTCTTATAGCAATTGGCTAGTTGCTTACTGCTTAGTGGATGGATCAGAATATATGGGCTCACTGGTGGATTAGAATCAACATATATATGTCTCACTAAATGGTGCTCTATTATACTGCCCATCAGGTTCAGAGTCTGTGTAAAGCGTCGCCTCGCTTTACGCTTTATCGCTTAAGCAGTGAGGCGCCCCCCTAGCGCCTCGCTTCGCTTTACCGCTTTATAAACATAGGTATTCTTATCATCAAGAACAATCAGGGACATTTATTGAGTTCTGAATAACAATCAGGATTTATGTTGAGTTCTGAATAACCATATCATTGCCATCATGGCAAACAAGTAGCATTGCCATTGTTGATGTTAAGATGCTTTAAACAGATTTACAATCAGTAGAGAGATTAAGGCGCATTAGCTTGATACCTTTGCATTGAAATACTTTGTATTTGTAGCAGCTTCAAGTCCATCTCACTTTTTCCTATTTGATGATCTAGTTTCAGTTCCTGGAAATTTGTTAAAGGTGTGTGTTCAACAACACAGAGCATTGTAAGCTGAAGAAAAAGGAAAAAATATACTCAGATGAAAATCCGTTTGCATGTGTATTAGCTCCATATGTGTCTGTGATTATCGTTGTTACTACTTTCTGTGTGAGGTTTTGTTTGTGGAAGATGCTCTATAACATAAATAGGCAGAATAGGTTGACTGTATTACAATGTAACTGTCCAAGAGGACACCACCAACACACCCATGAAGTAACTATCTAGGTTTCACAAAATAATTTCAACAAGGAATATAAGTTACATTTACGAATTTGCATTACTATTATCCTAAACTTTCCATTGATTTGTCTCCACTTAGACCATTGAAATTGTTAAGCAATAAGCAATTCAGCATAGATAGCACAATATTTGGAATATGCCAATTATATACAACATCTAACACACCTCATATTTGCAGTCCTTCTCAATATCTATTTGGTTGAAGCCTGAATCAGTTGAGATAGGACTTGCTTCCGAATGTTTCAAACCCTACATCAAAGGAGGGTGAAATATTGTAAATATGTTAAGAAAAGAAAGTTGAAGGGAATGTAAAAGATTACTTAATGTAGATGACATGTCAAATATTACATAAACATGATGGCAGACATTTAAGATTGTCACGACTCGCAAGAAAAGAAAAACACTACTGATTTTGAATCGACAAATTTAACTTCCTTGGAATATTTGTTTTGCAAACAGTCTTATTTTGACGAGGAATTGGATGCAGTAAAGGGTCCAGAATTTGAGAACAACCTCTGAACCAAGTGTATTCAGTGAAGACTCCAGTGATTCAATCTCAGCATCCAGTGGAATCATGTCTAAACAACAAAAGTCGTTTTTGTTATTTGAAAGAACACGGTGCTACGACTTGGCTAGCAAAGTGTTGGCAACTAGCATGGGCTTATAAACAAGAAAAACCCAAGATAAATAACCTTTGAACACTGTCTCTCCAATGACACTAATCTCGGCAGATAACTTGCAGTTCTCCTCCTCTGTCAAGCTCACCTCCTTTCTCAACCACTCAATGTACAAGTCTACATACAACAATCGCACCGTCACATTGAAACCAAAAGAGCCATTGTGCACCACACTCTATGAACCGTCAAGATAGCAGTAAAATCAAATGGAATCGGACGCATACCCAAACAGCGACTCTCTAGCTCAGCAGCGCTGGAGTCCCACGCATCCTCCGCCTGCATATCCGCCTGGAAACAACACAGCAGAAACGAAGATGTTAACCTGTCTCGTGGGCTGAAGTAAGAAACCTAGCAGAGCACGGGAACCCCTGGCTGTTGACACGAAGCCGCCGACACCCACCTCGCACCCGGAGCGCAGCCCATCCTCCGCCGCCGCAGCATCCACCGGCTCCTCCTCGTCCCCTCCCCACAGCGTGGAGAGCTGCTTGAACCGGCTGAACGAACGAAGGGAGTTGGGAGGTGAATCGATGGAGCGGAGGAGAGGGCGGAGGGGACAGCAAGTAGGTAGTACCTTCGGATGGCGGCCGCGTCGAGGGGCGCCTCGGGGTCCTCCACCGGGGCCAGCGCTAGGGTTTCCGCCATGGCCGCAGCCATCTCCGCCTCTCTGTCCCGCCTAGAAATTTGCTTTCGAAATGGGGGAAGAGATCAAAAGGAGACGAGAGCCGCGACGGGTGGCATCCCGCCCCTCCCTACTCCAGCAAACTACAGTTCAGCCCCGACCCTGTCAGATCCTCTACACCCACAATTGTCGCTCCAGCGAGAACACCTCCGGCCATCCAACGGTCGTCATCCACTTCTCTGGATGGTCAGGATTGACGGGGATATTTGAATTACACTTCATTTCATCATTGTTTGTCGTTGTTCATTGCACTGTTTGTTTTTTTTTTGCGAGTGAAATTTGTATTACTCAACCACCAAGAAGATACAATCAGCCGTTGCTAGTTCTACCGCAACAGAGGGACCAGATCCTAGCCAAGTCATTGTTCTTCCCTCTATGCGTGCAAAATTTGCCAAGCTATCACTAACCTTATTAACATGACGGCTAACATGAGTAATACAACATTCACAAAGTGACATGAGATATCTAATCTCCTTAACTAAGGAAGCATAAATCGACCTATCTTGTTCTCGTCCTTTGATCATCTTGACTGCCACAAGTGAGTCCATCTCAATGATGACCCGAAGTTCGCTTCTCTGGATCGCTAGGGATAAGCCTTCCATGCACGCGCCCAACTCTGCCTCGAGAGCTTCTCGGCACGAGAAGAAGGTCCTGCAAGCAGAAAATATAGTGACTCCCTGAGAGTCACTGTTGTTGTGGGCTTAGTTGGTCCTTCCCTGGAAAGGACGGCATGGCCCAACGGGTAGCTTCAACCGGCTACCCTGCGTGCCAACTAGGCTTGGGTGTCAGACCAAGACTCGAACGACCTTCTGAGGGCATGACCAACGGGCTGCCTCAAACCTAATGTCCCATGGTCTATGTCGGTTCAGATGCCACACTGGAGCTAAAGTAGGTGTCTCATAGGGCAAACGGGTTCTTACAGAGGAGCCAACCGCTCCATGAAAAAAGTAAGGGAAAAGGAGGAAAGAGAGGAAAGGGAAAGAGAAAGAGATACGTCGTGGGAGAAAGAAGGAGATGGGGCTCACTGAGATGGGGTCTACATAGTGATGCCTTTGGGTGAAATCAAATAAAAATGACGGCCCTAGAATTTTAGATCCGATGTGGAGCATGGGGCATCACCATTGTAGTGCTTCCGTTGCTCGTGCCCTCAGGAGCTGGCTACTTCATGAGAAAAAGAAGAAGAAAGAAAGAGAAGGGGAAAAGGTAGAGGAAAGGAGGAAGTAGATGACCACAACAATGGGAAGGAAAGAGAAGAAGGAACCACGATGGAGCATTGCTTTACGTTTTGTTCGTGGATGAAAATAAGTCAATACAATTAATCTCATCTTTGATTGTCTAGGTGGAGGGCTGGGAGCAGCACCCTCCATAGCTCATGCCCTGATGAATTCTCGTGCTTGGCTTGGGCATGGGACGCTACTGCTTTTGTGCCTGGCCATGCAGCTTTTGCTCATTTTCACGACCATGCAAGATACCTATGTTACGGACGTCATATCAGGCTATTGTTTGTCTTTTTCTTCTCCTAGGGCGATCTAAAAGTGCTCTGTTTCGGCTGCCTGGACAAGGCTAATGGTGGTCTCGAGTCTTAGCCCGCGTTAATGATACTCCCAACTTACCGAGCCGGGCTAGCGTTAGATTTTCAAGGACACAAACCAAACATGGCACATGCAAATCTCATGGAGGTGCCAGGCCAGACAAGTTTGCCCCAGGAAGTAACCAAATGGCCTGTGTAACCTAGTGAGTTGAGTATAAAAGGGACTATATTATATCTCTAGGGTTGTAGAAAGGATAGAGAGGGAGATTGGTGGAATTGTTGGATGTATTATTAAGCCTCGAGGGTGAGTATATATTGAGTACAAAACTTGGAGGGAAAGACGCCTCCTAGAGATAAGATAGAAATAATTCTATCTAATCCCGGGCAATCTCTACTACCAAATATGTCTCTAACAAGGGTTATCGATCATTCACAATTATCATATCACTTATAAATACATATTGAGGTATTTATCAGTATGGGCAAACCCTGAACCCTATGCCAGATATATTCTTGAATTGTTATTGGTTTTAGTTCTCGAGTCAGTCTATCAAATGTGATCTGACAATTAGTACCAGAGCGGTCTGTTCCTAGAGTGGTTGGGCGACGAGGTGGTTTGGATCTCCTCCGAAATCCCGCCCTCCTTCCTCTTCGCATGACGGTGGTGTTAATCTGCCGACCAACAAAGCTACCACCTCCCAGAGATTGTGATCATAGAATTGCTCTAGTGCCTGGCTTGGTTTCTCCTTACGCTAGACTACATAAGGTTCTGCACAAGCAAAATGATGAGATGGAGTAACAACTACATGATTTGCTTTCTCATGATATCAATAGACCAAGCCAGATTCCATATGCATGTCCTACTTTTTTGCTGAAGAAGGAAGATTCCAACTAGAGACTTTGTGTTGATTGCAAGAAGTTAAGTGCTCAAACAGATAAGATTGTTTTTTCTATTCCTGTAATAGAGGATTTCATAGATGTGTTACATGGAGCCAAAGTTTTCTCTAAACTAGATTTGAGGTATGGCTATCATCATGTGAGAATGTTTCCACCAGTCTACCTCATATTTGGAAAAGAATTGTTGTTAGGACGTATTTTTGGCACTTTGTATACATGGTCATGCATTTTGGACAACCTCGAGAAAATTCATGATGGTTTTCCTTGATGATGTGTTAATTTACGGTAAAGACACAACCTCTCATATCAAACACTTGCAATTAGTCCCAAATCCTTTTCAGACAACATTTATCTGCTAAAAACCGAGTAAATGTGTTTTTGTTGTTGAAAAAGTGGAGTATCTGGATCATGTTATAACCAAAGATGGATTCACTATCAACCCTAGCAAAATTGATTCTGTTGCTAATGGGAAAAGTCCAACTTCTTATACTCAGCTTAGAAATTTCTTGGTGTTGATACGTTATGTTACTACATAAGTTTTATCCAAATATATGGTGTCATTTTGTAGGCCTTTGCATGATATCCTCAAACTTGGCAATTTTTCATCGGTCAACTCAACATGAGCAAGCTTTCGAGAAACTGGAAATTTATGATTATTGCACATGTACTAGCTTTACCTAACTTCAAATAGCCATTTGTCCTCTAGGGCATCTCCAAGGAGGACCCGTAAATCTCCAGCAATCGTTTGTATCAGGCTGTCCGGACAGCGGAAGCCATCCAACGCCGACCTGTATTGATTCACGGAGCGGTCCGGACACGGTTTCTCCTGCAAACCGGAGACAAATGTGGAAAGGTTTGCTGGAGTCCGAACCGATCCCAAGGCTGTTTTCTGACCATCCTGGCCCACCAAATACCCCTCCCCATCGCACGTGTGTTCCCGCCCGGTGCCAGCTGGCCGCATTTGTTGAAAATATGCCCTAGAGGCAATAATAAAGTGGTTATTATTATATTTCCTTATTCATTATAAAGGTTTATTATTCATGCTAGAATTGTATTGACCGGAAACTTAAATACATGTGTGGATAGATAAACAAATATCGTGTCCCTAGTGAGCCTCTACTAGACTAGCTCGTTGATCAAACGATGGTTAAGGTCTCCTAACCATAGACATGTGTTGTCACTTGATAACGGGATCACATCATTAGGAGAATGATGTGATGGACAAGACCCATCCGTTAGCATAGTATATGATCGTCCATTTTATTGCTACTGCTTTCTTAATGTCAAATACATATTCCTTCGACCATGAGATCATGCAACTCTCGGATACCGGAGGAATACCTTGTGTGCTATCAAACATCACAACATAACTGGGTGATCATAAAGATTCTCTATAGGTATCTCCGAAGGTGTCTGTTGAGTTGGCATGGATCGAAATTGGGATTTGTCCCTCCGTGTACCAGAGAGGTATCTCTAGGCCCTCTCGGTAATATAGCATCACAAGAAGCTTGCAAGAAAAGTGGCTAAGGAGCTAGTACGAGATGATGTATTACAAAACGAGTAAAGATATTGGGAAACATAGCATGCAATTTCAGAAAAAATCCTACGCTCACGTAAAATCTATCTAGGAGATGCATAACAACGAGAGAGGGAGAGTGTGTCCACGTACCCTCGTAGACCGAAAGCAGAAGAATTTGATAAAGCGGTTGATGTAGTCGAACTTCTTCTTGTTCCGACTGATCAAGCACCGAATGTACGCCGCCTCCGATTTCTGCACACGTTCGGCTCGATGACGTCCCTCGAACTCTTGATGCAGCAAAGTGTCGAGGGAGAGTGATACATCCATTTTGCATCATGTTTTCTTACTATTATTTATAATGTTTTTATCCATAATAACGCCTTTTGGAGTAATTCTAATGCCTTTTCTCTCATAATTTGCAAGGAACACACCAAGAGGGAGAATTTCGGCAGTTGGAAATCTGGACCTGGAAAAGCTACGTCAGGACACCTATTCTGCACAACTCCAAATGAGGTGAAACTTTACGGAGATTTTTTATGAATTATTTGAGAAATACCGCAGCCAATAAACACCAGAGGGGCCCCACCAGGTGGGCACAACCTACCCAGGCGCACCAAGGAGCCCAGGCGTGCCCTCCTCGGCCCACCTCTGGTGCCCATCTTTTGGTATATAAGTCATTTTGACCTAGAAAAAAAATAAGAGGAGGACTTTCAGGATGAAGCGTCGCCGCCTCGAGGCGGAACTTGGGCAGGAGCACTTTTGCCCTCCGGCGGAGCGATTCCACCGGGGGAACTTTCCTCCCGGAGGGGGAAATCATCGTCATCATCATCACCAACAACTCTCCCATCTTGGGGAGGGCAATATCCATCAACATCTTCACCAACATCATCTCCTCTCAAACCCTAGTTCATCTCTTATGTTCAATCTTATTACCGGAACTACAGATTGGTACTTGTGGGTGACTAGTAGTGTTGATTACATCTTGTAGTTGATTACTATATAGTTTATTTGGTGGAAGATTATATGTT